GATGATGGTCTCTCTCAGATCAGTCTCCTAAAAAAAAACCTTTCCATCCAACTTTCATCCATATGATTTCTTAAAATAAATTATGACAGACAAGCTTGTAGTTTTAAAATTTCCCTACTCAACCAGAACTAATCGCTTTATTTCCTCATTGTAACCTTGGAAACTCACACACAATCTCCAAGATACAGGCCATTGTGATGTGGAGGGTGGTATAGTCTATTTCTGTTAAACATGGTAAAATAGTGTTAAATATCTGACCACCACAATCTTTGTTTCGTAACATTAAGTGCCACTAGCTCATTCCAAAAATATATATACTTTTGTTTTGCTGGGGCTGTGTAGTCACTGGAAACACTGCATTCCTCATAAATCTTCAGACTCAAAGACAAGCCTTAGTATTATTCTACTTTTGTTTGTTATTTTTGTGTATTTTATATAGTATATAATTTTATGTATATTTTTTTTTAGACAGCTTATTTGTGGTGCATTGTGATGTACCTTGGACAAGCAACTAAAGATTACCTCTGCTGGCCTCGTCCACCTTGTCCTCCTGTTGTTCGATTGGAAACAGACTACCTGCAGGAATATTCCATGCCCTCAACTCATGCTATGGCAGCTACAGCAATTCCTTTATACCTTGCTTACATTACAGTACAAAGATATCAGGTGATACAATAGTTTCATTTCATATTAAACTATTTTCTCTGGAAAAAAAAGTTTTTTGTGTCATGTTCTAGTTGTCCATTCACCATTTCCATCTTTACTGTATATACCCTCAAAATTTGTAGCAGCAACAGATGTGTCTTGTTTGTTTGTAACATGTTTTGGATGTTCCTTCAGAGTTGAAGATGATTTACTTCCTAATCCAAACTTCCCGCAGGATGACACAGGACAGCAGGGTTTGAACCTGGGACCATCTGTAAGTCTGAACTACAGTCCTGCAAGCAAACTGCACGACAAACTTTCCTTAATTCTAAGGTCCAATATTTCAAGGTATTTTAGGGCACAGAACACTTGAAATCATGAATCAGTGCAGCTCTTTTTGTTCTTACTCCATATTTTGGGCCTGAGAACTAGTTTATCTTCTTATTGTATAGTATTTGACTGATTACTAAATGTCTACAGATCATCTGATATGACTGAATATTTTTAGAATTTATCTGTTAAACATAATTGTATGGGTCATTTACTGTAACTTATTACATGGACTATGTGATCCATTCTTAGATAAGTATGAAAACTTTCATTTGCTACTGCTTATGGCTATATTATAAGGAAGTGAAGAGAGTTTAATAAATAAAATATCTTCTGTCCAATTTAACAGTTAAATGATTTGCAATATTTATAATCTTGTCTTTAAAATTCAATTTGCACAGGAGGTAGGGTGGGCAGGTGTAGAGAAGATGATTGGGGATGATAAGAAAAAAAACATGTTTTTATTGTAGAAAAGAAACAGTTTAGTAGTTTGATTAGTGTATGCCTTTTCATCCTCTTTTATTCCATAAAAAAATATAAATCAACAGCTAAAAGTCTCAGGATAGTGCAATATGTATATTATAATAGCAAAAAATACATGTATTAGTAAAATTATTTTATTATACATTACAGCAATTTTTGTCCTTTTGTTGACCCATTTATATTAATTACTTAACTATTGGCCACATACTCATATATACAAAAATTAGTTCTCTTGGTATCCAAGCATTTAAAACACACTCATCTTTGTTTCATTATGCATGTATATTGATCATAAAGTTTTTCATTTTAAAACATTATTATACTTAAAATTTAAATAGTAAAACTAATATATGTAAGTGCATTAAGAGCTATGATTCAATTGTTTCAGGTGCCTGTGTACATTGCTGCATTCATAGCTTTTCTGTGGTTTTCCATTACATGCTTGAGTCGGATATATCTTGGTGTCCACACCTTCTTGGTAAGTTTTACATTATTTGTGTATTGTGAAATAATTTTAATTAAATTGTTTATGTACTTATTTAAACAAAAAATCACAATTACTATTTTTGCAATAGACCTGACATTTGATAATGGACCTCATTCTCCAAAACAAATAGTCATGTGATGACCATTGGTAACACAATGAATGATAAATATTTTCACTTGATATCAAAAGTTGTATAGAATAGGTAGAAGAGCTAGTTGCTCAAGGTTATTTGTTTACAAGTGATGAATGAGGTCCATTGATTTACACAAAGTATTGACTATCTGTTTATGCATACTAACCTGTGTAACAATATTTTTTCTTATTAGGATCTCTTGGCTGGATGCTTATATGCCATTCTAATATTTTTCTCCTTTACAAAATATGTGGAAGATTTTGATGTTTACCACCAGACCCACCTCTTTGCCTCGCTCATCGTGCTTTTTACAGGCTTGGCTCTTTGTACCGTGTGCTACCCTTCTAACTTCAAGAGTTCCAGTAAAGGGGATGCAGTGCAAATTGTGGCCTCACTGACTGGTGTGGCTATTGGAATGTGGCTGTGCTTCCAGCTTGGATATTCTCAGCAGACTGGTGCAGAAGGTCCTTACTCTATAACCAGCCCAACTTTGACCTGGGTTGGTATGGCCTCTCTAAGATTCATTACTGGTGTGTGTATAATTTTTGGTGTGCATTCCATTACAAGAATTGTAACCATCCAACTCTTCTCATCATTCTTTGGTTTAGAGAAGCCAGACAAAACACACCCAAGTGTCATGACTGGTTACAAGTTTACAACATACTGTATGGTTGGTATATGTATTTCTTTTTTTGTACCGGTAATTCATATGTGCTTTGGAATCCATAGACCAGCAGTCTTTCTAGAAATGTCTTGATCTAGAAGAAATTTACTTTTGTAGCAATAGTTAATAATACTTTTTAGCTGAACACAATGAGTGACCCTATTTTATTTCATTTTTTACAAAGAGCCTCAATACAAAAAATGAAAGTCAGGTCTTATGCTGTGTATTATGTAAAATCTAATGTGTTGAAAAATCTATATGTCAAAAGATAATTAAAAACTATATTAGTAGCAATATTGACTAAAAAAAAAAGAAGCAACAAACTATTTTATCTTGTGGGAGTAGTTCACCTGTTACACATTTTGAAAATATTTTTGTTATGAAAAGGATTTTTTTCATTTGCTTTTTAAATCATAAAATGAGAATGCAGGATAAGAATATGATCTAGTCTATTTTTCATTTGATATATAATGAAGACTCAAGTACTAAAAGTTCTGAGTTTAATTACACTATATTTAGGATGAGATCATCAAAGATTAATTTTAGAAATTTACATCTTTGTTTCCCTCTTTTTAAAAATTGTGAGTTATATACTTTTAGCACAAAGCTCTTCAATGATGTGCTTGTATTAAACTGTATTTCTTTTGTACATAAAGATGTTGCACCTCATATTCAAATAAGTATCTATTTAAAAATAAACTCTTGTAAAAATGACTATATTTAAACTATTTTAGTATCAGAAAGCAAAATTAGGATGAAAAAAAAACACGTATTTATCAAATTTAAGATTATTATTCAATTTTAGCACATATTTGTTTAGGACAAATGAAATATTTTCTTATATGTTCTGGTAGTCGTTCTTTGGCTACCAATGCTGTTATGTAATTATTTATTCTAAAAAAAACAACAACTAAACAAATAACATTGAAGTTTACTTATTTCCATTTTATAGTTTTTTAGGGTATGCATTTTCTGTTTAAAGAAATAGTTCTGGAAGTACTCTTATTTAAGAATTAAAGTTAATATGAAGTAATTATCTTCTCTTTTGTGAGAATGTTTGTAATTTATAAGATGAGATGTCTAATTAGTAAAATTGTCTTCTTATTAGATGGTAATATATATGTGTTTAGATAGATACAACTTAAAATGTAAAATACAAACATTTTAAAAGCACTAATTTGTTTTTTTTTTAGTAATAATAACCTTATAGTTTTGAAAGTCTTGTTAAAGGGAAATAGAAGAATTAATGGAATATATACATGTTTATATATTTTCAAAGATTTGCTTTTAAGAATTTCTAATCGAACAATGCTCATTATTATTACTTTCTGTTATTGTCCTGTGAACTACAATAGTGACATTAGGCTGGATATGCAAGCAATTATTGACATCCCTAGGGTGATATACCACTGAACTTCTTTGGAATTGGTAAAGAGAAAAGCTGATTTTATTTGAGATAATTTGCTTTTTAGATGATCCCTGATGTCCACTTGCTTGCTGCTGATAAAAGGTTAAAAAAAATCTTTCTGTATGATGGCCTGATGTCACAATACTTTTGAAAGTTTTATTGTTGTATTTTGATAGCTATGTATTTATCTATTTATGTGTTTATTGTGATAAATCTTTTAAATTCATTTATTGATAGTAATCTCTGACAATAATCATTATCATCAATTAATTTGTACACATAATCTTGTGCCAATCTAAACAAAGTAAAATTTTTGGCCTAATTTTGTCCCTATGTTAATCTTTTGATTTGATGATAATATTGACATTTCTTATAAATTTTACTTGCATAATATATTATTAATGCATAACTAAAGTTGGAGTTTTGAGGTATTATGCAATGCAAATTTTGAATAAATAGTGATGATATTCCATCTATTTTCATTATTTCTTATGCATGCATGAAATAGGAAACTGCTTTATCCTATACATGTATCACACGATTGACAAGTGATTCTTTTAATGTAACATTTATTTTAATTTGGAAAAGGAAGAATTTATATATAACAGTATTTTTCACATTGAAACAAAAACAACCTTAAAGTCATTTAAAAAAAAAAATTTTGATGTATCAGTAATATGTATAAATGTGTTTAAAATAATTCATTTTGTTTTGGAGGTTAAATATCACAAGAAAGCACTATTATTTGTGCTAAGGCTAAAGAAAAATATAAAGTTGTTATTGAATGTTTAGTCTATTACAACAAATAGCCTATGGCACACCAGTGACCATTCTTCTTCTGTGTTCTCAAGTGACCAGAGGGGGATAAATATTTTGTGATATTATTTCTATAATATTTCTGGTTGTGTACTCAATATAAAGCATACTTTATACACCATGTTTTAGTCATTTCAATACATATGGATTGGATGATTAACATTAATTATTACATGTGGTATTTGCTGTAGCTTTTTTTTTTTTTTAAATCATCATGATATCTGAGGGTATGGGTCAACTGCTAAAGTGCTGTGTCTCTTAATGAGGGTCTTAGTGGAGGCTAGCATTTTATTCAGGAGTGCAGGTGAACTCTGATTTCACCTGATTATTTTGAAAGTAATTTGAGGAATGATGTTCTAGCCACACAATATCCTAGTTAACTGTTGGCCACAGAAATGTAATTCCTTTGTCTACCCAATATTTAACAAATTTCCAAGAAATAGCTTAACTGTTTGTGAATGCTTGATGTTAATCCATGCTGTTATTTTTGAGGGAATCAATGCGTAAAAAAAAGAGAAAAAACAACAACAAAACTTTGCACTTAGCTTTAACAAACAATGCCTTCCAGGAGTTGATATTTTTCTGTCCTTTCAGTTGAGTGCCATCTATACTATGTTTTATAGATATATATTTATATATAAAAAGGTCAATTCTTTTTGGCAGTCTAGCATTTAAAGTTTATAAACAATATCTCCTGCAATTAACTTTGAAGTCTAGAAAGTACTGTTGATTATAACTGAAATGCATGTTATTTCATAAAATGCTTTTAAAACATTCCATTTTTTTAAATATTACATATTTGTGAAAAAAATTTATACTTTCTATTTTGTAGTTAATTTTGTATTACTGTAGAAATTAAAGCCTTCTTTTATTTCTATTTTTTGCAATTATCCTGGATTATACACAAAATACACTGATAAAGCATTTATTTTGAGAAACAAAATTCCCTTTCTTTATGTTATATAAAGTTTGATTAATTTGATCAGAGCCTGATTTTCTTCTTTTACAAAACTTATACTGTGTATTAATTAATGTTTTTGTAATTAGTACAGCAGCTCTTTTTATATTTCTACATTTACAGCAACTATCAATAAATATTTATTGACTGTCTTTTAATGTTTTGTTTGTGGAGAAGCTTTGTCTTTCTAATTATCTTGCTAATTTTTGTCTTGATGATTTGAAAATAAAAAAAAAAAAGTAATTTAAGTTTTATTGTATATATATATTTTTACCCTCAAAGTGTGAAAAATGTGTGATAGATCTTTTTAGTTTTATAAAGCTTGCATCAACCCACTCTGCCTGTCTGTATGGTAAAAAGTTTGTAGACATTATTTCTCCCACAACCTATCTCAGATTAAGGTGAAATTTTGCACAATTATTTCTTTTACCTAAAAACACAGAATTAATAAAAAAGATAAAATAAATAAATAGAATTATAGCTTTTATATAGAGCTACTTTCATGCTTATAGCATGCTCAGGGCGCTTAGGTCCATTCTCATTTGTGGACCAGTGGGGAGGGGGTGTGTGGGAGGTTTTCCGTGCTGCCTTTAGGCGCTCTGTAAACACAACTTTCTTCAAGTCTGGTGTCGAATCTCGAGCCCCCTTCATAGGTAGCCAAGTTGGGTTCAAGCGCACTTAGCCTCTCAACCACACATCCCTGATTAGCCTATTAGTTAATTAACCATTGGTAATTAGTTATTTTGTTTGGTATATTTGAACAACAGAAAGAAATCATACTTGAAAGATGGGGTATAAGTTAAATTAGTCCCCCTTGAGGACTCTTATTGAGCCCTAAGTGAATATGTTTTTTTAAGCATTTAAAATGAAAAAAGATAATGTAGTAAACATTCCCCAAGGTACCCACTCCCATTTTCACAACTGGTCCAGACAAGTGATAGGATCATAAAACATTGAGAAAGCTAAAAACAATTGGTAAAAATATTTATAATCACAGATTTATTATGTCTAGGTCAATCATATTTATACATACATGACTGATCCAAACTTATTGAAACGATTACACTTACTATAAGATTTGTTTGTTTTTTAAAAATATTTTTCTATGTTTTTATCTGTAGCACTTGGTATTAGAAATGTATCAGGGTTTGGTTTTTTTTTAAGGTATCCACAAATGTAAGGTAAAGAGAAATAAGTTGAACATAATGAAATATAATTGAGAATTTTTAGAGTTTATTACTATTTTCATAATATTATTTATAGAGCAAAATTCAAAAGGCCATATCAAAACAATAATATTTTATAATATTGTAATTGACAAGATTAATTACATTTTTTTTCTAATCTTTTGTAGAAGTCTTTTAGTGTTTCATTAGATGTTAATGATTAGTGAGAACTATATTAATATAATTTAAAATACAATTAAAAAGCTTTGGAAAAAAAACATTTAATGAGAATGAAATTTCATTACACCAGGAAAAATAAAAACCTGGCAATGACTTTGTTTTACCATCTAATTTTTTTTTTGACCATGTCATTTACCCAAAATTTCTTGTATGGTACAAAGTTTATCATCAGCATCTTTGCGTTGTGGAGCCTCAGCAATGTCAAGTAGCTTACTACTGATGTCCCTATTGTCAATAACATGAATCACATTGCTATCTTTGGCAGACAAGTAGGAGGGCAGTTTGGACTCTGGTATTCCATTAATTTCCGCCATGTAATCACCTTCAAGGAATTCGTGCAAGGCATCAGGTAAAGAAAGTTGGTCATCTGTTTCCATATCAGAGTCATTAATAGCTAATGGCACTGACCCAACACTACTAAATAATAAAACACATCCTGGTCAAGAAAGAAAAATGACCAATTAGTGTGTGTTGAAGTGGACATGGTAAAATAAAAAGTTTTCTTACAAAGTAGAACAAAAAATCAACTAATACTAAACAACAGGTTTGTCACTAATGATTATCATGACATTAATTTCTAGGATGCTTGTAGGATTATTATTCGTGAGCATATCATTCATACGCAGCATTACAGTCCGCGGACTGGACTAATAACAATTACATAAACTAGGAACTACAGGTACTTACAAACATGATATAAATATGATGTGTATTTACAAAAAATAAATCCAACTTCCATGAAACAAATAGATGATAATAATTTACATAGATCACTACTATTCCCAAAGGTATATATGTAGTTTTTTAACATTCTCACTTCACTTATACTATCATATGGTCATATCACTAAGTCCACTACTCGACTTCATATTAACTTATTTCATCAACTTATTAAAGAATAACTTAATTGTTACATGACTTCCAACTTGATCAGAAAATAACTGACTTCAGCAAATCATTAGAGAAACTACTTCACTTCACCCGGTCATTTTACTAACTCTCAATCTCTCATACGACCTTACTACCTGGTCATACCTAACTTGTGTTCACTATTTAAACTTTCACACTTTGCATTCACACAATTCACCTAAGTAGGCCTACAATAAGTTAACTAGTTTACTTTGACAAGGTTGTATTCCAAGTAGGAATGAACAAATTTTTAATACTATTACAATGACTTGTAATAATTTTCAATGTGATAGGTACACTCATTTAGAGTAAGAGTTTTACCACTACATTCTGGCTAATTTAGATAACTTGAGGTTAAGTTATTTTAAACAAGTTTTGTTATTTTGTTAAGGAGATTATTTTTAAAAATTGTTTTTCTACATTGCAATATTATTTTCTGACATTATGCTAGCCATAGTATACAATATTTAACTAATTTGTACATCCTACATAGTATCACATCAATGTCCAAATTATCAATTACAAATAAATAAGCTTTAACATGATGATTTCCTGCACTGGGCGAAGAAGTTTCCAGGGGCCAGGTAGCACTACATCACAAAACCATATATTTCCCAAAGATTATGCATCAGCAACTAGTATTTCATTTGAAAGCATTCATTGAGTCCATAATACCATCCTTTTTCCCATTGGTAATATTTAAACTAATACTACACCACAGACCTTAATGCTCATTTTAAAAGAGTCAATGGACGCAGCATAGTATACATATGCCATGTAAAGAAATTTAATTTTTACAGATATTTATTTACCTAAGGCAAAGAAGCAATTTTTGTAACCTATAGCATTGATAACAAAACCTGAAAATAAAAAAATATTTTCTATAATCTCTTAATGAGAATAAAGTTAATTTTTTTGTTGTTAAAAAATCTTTTAGAAAATAAATACTTTCACAACAAAAATTTTTGTAATATCTATAAAATTTACAAAATGAACTTAACAATAAGTTCTTTTTTTTATGCTTTTTATCATATAAAATTAACAAAGATCACTATAGGCATGCAAGTATAGTACAATATCTTATGACTTAAGTATCAGCATGTAGACTGGTATTACAATGAAAGTCTTCTGCAGATAGTTTTAGTTTGTATAAAACAATAAAATAGTGCAGTACAGTAGTTTGAATGATTGTTTTTGTCTTCTCATGTTCAATCTAAATGCAGTTAAAATTAAGACTGAGATGATCATTGGTATTTTTTTTTTATATCAAAGAACAATATCATGTGTGAAAGTGTATGTGTATGTATAAGCTAATTTTACTTGTATATGTTAGATGGAATTGTTTAGAAAATCACTAAAATTAGAGGTACTTCAAGACAGAAGACTAAAAAGTAAGAAGCAATAATACATAAAACACTAAAAAATAACGTACAAATATAAAAAACACAATCTTATAAAATATTCAAAAAGACACAAAGATAAAGACAAATTTCTTATTCCATAAGAATTTGAATAATTCATACATTAGAGCAAGGAAAATGGTTGCCTGAATCAGCCCGGAAAATCAATGACTTAGCAGAGTTGAAATCTATAATAAACATGCTCAGCTAGATTAACACACACATTAATGAAGTAGGCAATTAATGATAGAAATGAAAGATTGTTCAACTACTGTATTCCCCTTTCAGTCGAGGTGTTTCAAGGTCATTTGTTGTCCAACAAAAGTACATAAAATTCCAATTCATCAAGCTCTGTGTGTCTGTGTCTGTTAGTATTTGCATCTATATCATTACTGTTTTAGTAGTAATGCTGAGGTCAACAATTTAAACTGAGTTTCCATTTGCTTAGACCAATACAATAATCTTTTCATAATAATTTCTCTTGAAGGAATGTTTGTAATTTGCAAGATTACAAGAATCAAATTCTTTTTGTGATTTTATATAGTTACAGCAGCACTTGAGGATGACAGTGAAGAGAAAGGGAGTCTACATAGTTTCAATATTAGAACAGCTGTAGCATAGATAATCTTGTTTGTACAGTCACTCACCATCTAGAAATTTAACACCCAATATCTGAAGTCCTTCAATTTATTGATAGATAAAAAAAAAAAGCCTTTGTTATAAAACCACAAATTGGTTATAATCTTTAATTGTATTCTATTGTATTTATTTTATTTTTATTGTATTTTATTGTAAGAAGTGTGGTCGAGAGGCTAAGTGCACTTGAACTTGGCTTGGCTACCTAGAAGGAGGCTAGAGGTTCGCCACCCGACTCGGGCAGAGTTGTGTTTACTGAGCACCTAAAGGCAGCGGGGAAAACCAACTCCTAGATACCCCCCCCCCCCCCCCCACCCACTGATCCACAAATGAGATTGGACCAAAGCGCTCTGAGCATGATGTAAGCATGAAAGTAGCGCTATATAAAAGCTATAAATATATATATTCAATGCTATCTCCTTTAAGAACTACCGGTATTATGCTATATTATTTTGATAATGTGATATAGATACTTACTTGCCAAAGGAGGTCCTATCAAGTATCCGATGCCCTGAAACAGACTCAAGAAACCAACTCCAGCGCCAAGGTCACTGGCGTCCAGCATGTCAAGTATTATTAATGAGGAGAGTGGTACAAGTGCCCCAGTGTACAGACCCAACAGTCCAGAGAAAACAACTTGATAGATGAAGGTGGAAGCCACTAAAGACCCAAACACAATCAAAGCTCCAGCTAAGAAAAGACTGACTGAAATACGTACAAACAAATAATAACATTAAAACATGTAACTATCTTATAATAAATAATTAACATATTTGTCTGGACTAGCTGAGCAAAATATTCAAAATTTAAACAGCTGCTATACTGTATGACCATTTCCCTTAAAGCTCTAAAGATTCAAAACGCAGATGGCATAAAACTCTTCCATGGCCAA